ACTCAGGTATATGCACTGAGGATGTGCATAACTCTGAGGCAGTCATTTTTATCATTAGCTTTGTTTAAAAAACCAAAAGCATTAGTATAGCTTTCCCCTCACTCCAATCCACTAGTCTTACTTCTTTCTTCCTATAGCACTGTTTCTTGACCAAAACAATGTACTATTAACTCCTCAAAAGTTTTTAAGAATCTGGTTAAGCACTGTAAATATTCCATCTTCATACAATAGTTGTCCTCTCCCTAAGGCAAATCTTTGTACCCATAACTATTCTTTATGTAACCTGGTTTCCAAATCCTTTGATATACCTGATGCTAGTATTTGGAAGCATCTGAGTTTCTCAATATCACTGTTAAAGTATATTTATCCAAAGTGAATAGACAATGTCATGTTTTATTTGGCCAGCACACACACTAGGGAACTACTGCATCCCTTCACCTGAGTGCCTCGTAGATTTGAATCAATGCCATCATACAGAGCGTTATTTTTTTTAGCACCTACATTATCACAGCAGCTCCTACTAAGTCTTTCACTCATGTAAATTGCAGCCAAGACGGATTTTCAGCAACTTTTTCAATTCCTTTTAAAAACTTAATGTAGAATTTTACATTTATGTCTGTTTCTATTCATCTTATTTCTCAGTTTTTAGCTTTCAAATAAATTTCTGAACTCAATGTACTAGTTATACTTCCATCATTGGGTCTTTACCTTAAGCATGTCATTTCCCTTCCACCTAAACAGAGTAAACAAGTGTTCAATAGAATGAGGCCTAAGAAAGCATTACTGATCCTTGTGAATTCTTTAGGGAACTATAATTCTGTTATGTTCCTCCTTCTTCAAAACCAGTTTCTCCCTTATGGATTTTCCCCTGATTTCTATACCACATGTAAGACTGATCAGTTGTTTACCAGGACTAAAGACTTTCAGAGTCAGAAGGGACTTCCCAGGACCATCTGGTCTTGCCCAACTCTCGCCTTTACAAATAAGGAACAGGAAATTAGGAAAGTTATATACCCTTGGCCACATGGCCAATAAGTGATATATCTGGGAGCAGAACAAAGGAATTCTAAATACATATAAATGATGTTCTTTCCAGTACAGGTTTTTATTTAATTTTTTTGTATTTTTATCTGTTCACTTGATTTATATGAAGAGAAATTACTGCTTTTTATTATTCTCTGCTTTCTCTAAAACAATGTGCCCTTTTTGTTCTCAAGGGTATTCTGGCTACCACACAAGGAGCACATATATTGTTTCCTCTTACTTTTCAAGGCCATTCAGGGAAAAGGTTGGTGAACAGCTACAGAGCTAAATAAATATAAATTCTGGCTTACTGCAGGCAGTGAGGAAAGGAATATTTTGATTATAAATCTCAAATCCTGACTCTCAGTCTACACATGTATTTAAAAATAACTATCAACTTTCTAAGACTCTATAGATAGATTTTTACTGTATTGATGGTATATATTAAATCACTGTATCAATGATATATTCTTTTTATACCACTTCTAGTTGATTTACGGTCAACATCACTAAGATATCAAACTCAGATAGGAAATATTAATAATAAATAACAACCACCACCTACCTCCTCACCAGAATGTAAGTTCTGTGAGTTAGTGTAACAACCACCACCTACCTCCTCACCAGAATGTAACTTCCATGACAGTTAGTGTTAGTTTTTCATTCTATAATTTTTGTGTGGCTTGCAGTGGGTAGGCTCTCAATAAAAATGTTGATAAACAAATGAATGAATAAATAAGCTCTTTAAAAGGAAAACTAACACCCAAAAATGGGTCTAAAATTTTAGCAACTCCCCAAAAAGTAAACAAAAGAGATATATTCTAAAAGGATTTACTTGGCCACCAAAGTTAATTAAAGAAATGAATGAGTCTTAATATTACAACTTTTTTTTCAACAAAGTGCTTTTACTCCCTTTCCATCTTGCCCTTTGCCCCGAAATCTTTTGACAGGTTACTTTTTGTTTCCTTAGACTCCTTACACATGAGAGACTTCTACAACAGTCCCTCTGTTCATTTTCCTAGAACCACCGAGCAATTGTTCAAAGAGACCAAATCAAGTTCACTATCATAAGAGTATAAAAAGGCTACCAGCAGATACACAGATGAGGTTCTTTTTAGTATTAGAATTACTTTATGACCTGAACTCAAAAACAATCTAAGAACTCACTATTTTCTGTCAATGTTTTCATATTCTTTGTATGCAGCTGCTCTCACAATTCATTTCAAAATATCAAGTCTCACATTAACCAAAATAGCAATTTCTAGCAATCCAACATTCAGTCAAAACATTCTCTTTACTGATGGTTTTATTAAACATTATCTTCTACATCGGTCCTCTGAAATCTAAGTAAAAAGCACCAGAACAATATCATGTTACTTCAAATGTTGAGGGTGAAGGAACTTGCTCACTTAAAGCCTTTTTCTCCTCCTGTTTTTAATATGTTTACAATTTATTTAATTCATTTCAAATGTCTATGCTAAGTTCAAAGAACTAATTGCATCAAACTCAAATCATTTATATCCTTTTCCTGTCTGTTATTTAAACATTGATATTAAAAATTTTTTAATTACTTATCAAGTCAAAGCTATTGATATTTGATGTATCACCAATCACTTAGCTTATGTTTCATAAACAATATAAAGCACCAGCCTATATAAACCCACCATGTTCTATCCATAGTTTTCCTTTAAATTCACAAAGTGAAAACTCTATTTCAAAAACTACAAGAAAACTACAGATTTAATAAACAGATTAACTTACTGAAAAAATCTTTAAAGACCTTTAACCAATCCATTCTGAAAAAAAATCCCGTGTTCTCTTTCGTCAGTTCGTTAACACAGCTCAGGATAATTCTTGGTGAACTTCCTGGTTCTGCAACACTGAAACTCCCCACACCCAATCCATGTGACTTGGCCCACACCCAGGCAATAGAAAGGTTTCCTGAGGCTTCTCTCTTTCCAAAACATTTTTCCCCTGAACTCCAACAGAACCTATAAAACAAGTATATCGTGATGGCCACAAATATGACCTTACTATTCATACTTATTTTAGAAGAAGCTTTAAAGCGTGTGTTTTTTTTCAACAGTTGAAAATATATTCATGTATTCATTCTTTCCTTTGTTTTCTCCTTTTCTTTCTTAACCTTCAAACATTGTCTCCATCAGCACAATCAATCATTGTGAAAAAAATCCATTAGTTATATGGGACATTTAAGTTACCTAAAAAAAAAGGGATTCAGAAATTCTGAGAAAGGAAAGAAGGCTGTCCGATGCAAAAGCTGGATTTACATCATTATACAGGCCAACTATAGACCCCTAGTCCTCTGGAATAGACAGCAATAACTGTAATATACTAATAAAATTAACAGCGATAGCCTAAAACTTAAATAGATATAGTCTTGCTAAAACTGTCTCAATAATATCAGAAAATAGTATGGAAGGTTTCCCAGCAGTATTAATAATAAAAGCTGTATCTAATAAGGCTTTTAAAATTCACATGCAGTCATATCTAAAACTGGGGTGTTTTTCCTCTTTGCTCTATATTAGTTTTTTCACTATCTTTTGTTAATTACTGTCACATCTGCTATACCTCTCAGGATACCACTATCCTTTTTCAAAGGAACATAAAAGTTTATCTAGGTGTGGCCCTAGTCCTTTCTGTGCCTTCATCACTATGAGGCATACTTTCTTGATAGAAGTTACCTTAATTTTCCCTAATACACCTAATCAACATGCTTTAAATAAATGTCCAGTATTTACAAAATCACAAGTATTCCTGGTTCTAACTTTGGTCTCTTCAGCTATTCAAGGACAATCTCTTTCCAACTGTCTTTCATTCATATGTGAATTGTCTTCTATTTAAAAACTACTATTAAAAACTAATAATAATGGCCTTATTTGCAAAACCTTAAAATCTCAAAAAAAGGTAAACCTAGTTAAAGCAGTTAAGTATCATGGTGAAAATTCAGATTAGTAACTCCATTTATTAAATGACCTTTAGAATAGAATAACAGAATAACAATAATGCTGAATAAGAAATAAAAACTAATATAAAGCAGTTAGTCAATAATATTCCACATTCATCAATCATGCCACATTACTCTCAAACTATCTTTGTTCAAGGAGAAATTTTACTTCTTCTCCTACATATATACCAAAAACTATTAAGAAACAGCATGCTTGCCTGAATACCTGAGGGAAATTCTGTCCCTCCCAATTCCTTCCTGTCAGCCAAGGAGAGTTAAGAGAGAGAGACAGTCTAGGCCTCATTTGCACGTATTTCCTTCCTATCACAGCTTGGCCAAGCCCAATGTGAAGTAGGTTCCCCTATCTGTGGCCCTAACGGAAGGCCAGTAAAAACTAACAAACTTTACAGTTAGGGGAAGAAAGAAGAGGAAAAAAGAGAAACAAAATAAGAAAGAGATAAGCTTTGTAGATGCTAATATACAGTAATGCACAATTTAAAACTTTTATCAAATATAAGAATAAAATGATAGTTTGATTTTAAAAGCACAGTTCAAAATATAAGCCATTAGATGTAAAATGAAGCAATGAAGCAATCCTGTAAAATATGTTGCCTTGATGACAAGGAGGATATTCTGTAGCTCACTCATTTTATCCCTATCTCAATTAGATGTAGAATCTCTAAATTCCAACAGGCACTCATGGTTCAAGGAGCCCCTGATAGAAGATCAGAGTTAAGTTCCACTGTCAGCATCACTCTGGCTTGACTCTTGAACTCTGGCCAGATCCACCAGCTAGATTTACAGAAACTGACCTTCACTGGTCTCCTTGAACACACCTGACTTGAATACCCCTGCTATGAGCCAAATTTACCTTGCCTAGCTGAAATCCCAGGCCTGGGATGTTCTAATTGATTATGCCCACTGCTGCCAAAATTCAGTACAAAGAACCAAGCTCCAGCATTCATTTAAAAGAAAGTACTGTCATTCTTGTTTTAATACAAAAATAACTTACCTAACGTATCCTTTAGGTTTTTTACAATCGATGCTTTCCGAGCACTGTTTTTCCTTTCCACGTAGTTAGAAGGCACAAAACCCGTTTTATTCATGGAATTTCGAACTCGCCACCAGGACTTAGAATCATCCAGAAGCCACAATCTCTCATTCTTCTTGATGTCCAGCTCTTGTTCTTGTTGGGCCACATAATCAAATTTGGCTACTACCACCACTTCTTCTGCCATTTTTCAGCAGCTTCTGCACTGTAACCACACAGAAAATATTTTACATAAGGTTTAACTAGTATTAGTCTACATGCTTTTCCAAAGAAACACACCTAAGAACCAAAGAGCACTGAATGATTGAAAATAAAAATATGAAAAAATTAAAATACCAGGCATATGCTAATCAATACAAAACTGGTGTAGCTGTATTAATAACTTAAGGCAAAACTATTACTAGTGATAAGGAAATTAAATACATCATGATAAAAGGGTTGTTTTTTGTTTTTTTTTTTGCTGCACGTGGGCCTCTCACTGTTGTGGCCTCTCCCATTGTGGAGTGCAGGCTCAGCGGCCATGGCTCACAAGCCTAGCCACTCCGTGGCATGTGGGATCTTCCAGGACCAGGGCACGAACCCGTGTCCCCTGCATCGGCAGGCGGACTCTCAACCACTGCGCCACCAGGGAAGCCCATGATAAAAGGTTTTATTCAACATATATAACAGCTAAACTTATATGTACCTATTAATATAGCTCCAAAATAGAACCACAAGGAAAGATTGACAAAATCATTGTCAGAGAGGACAACTTTTAACATGTTTATCTCAGTAATAAATTAAGGAGACAAAAAATTAGTAAGGCTAAGGAAGAACTGACATCATAACCGCTAAGTGTGATGTAATAAACATACACAAATATAACTTCCAAACAGAAGAATATAAACAGAACAAAAATCGATCAAATCCTAGGCCATAAAAAAGTCTCTACATTTTTCATGTACTTGGCACCCTACAACCATATTCTGACAATTATAATAAAAAGACAGCTTTTCAAAAACCTTATATATTGGGCTTCCCTGGTGGCGCAGTGGTTGAGAGTCCGCCTGCCGATGCAGGGGAGGCGGATTCGTGCCCTGGTCTGGGAGGATCCCACGTGCCGCGGAGCGGCTGGGCCTGTGAGCCATGGCCGCTGGGCCTGCGCGTCCGGAGCCTGTGCTTTGCAATGGGAGAGGCCACAACAGTGAGAGGCCCGCATACCGCAAAAAAAAACAAAAAAAACCTTATATATTAATATTTAGAAACTTCTAAAAACTCATGAGTCAAAGAAGAAATCATAATAGAATTTGGAAAATACTTAAAAGTAAAATTAAAGACTATATAGCCAACTTTGTGGGATGCAGCAAAAGGAGCATATAAAAAGGAGATTTGTAGTTGTAAATAGTTACATCAGAAAAATAAAAGTTGAAAATAAATTAATGGGGCTTCCCTGGTGGCGCAGTGGTTGAGAGTCCGCCTGCTGATGCAGGGGACACGGGTTCGTGCCCCGGTCCGGGAAGATCCCACATGCCGCGGAGCAGCTGGGCCCGTGAGCCATGGCCACTGAGCCGCGCATCCGGAGCCTGTGCTCCACAACGGGAGAGGCCACAACAGTGAGAAGCCCGCATACCGCAAAATAAATAAATTAATTAATTAATGAACTGATCATCTGTCTTCAGTTAGAAAAGAAGAACATAAAGAAAAGTAGATAAAAGGAAATAATACAAATAAAAGCAGAATTTAATGAAACAGAAAACAAACATATAGAAGGCTCAACAAAAGGTAGTTCTTTGTCATGACTAAAAAATGGACAGAGTCTGGCAAGACTACTCAATGAAAAAAGGAAAAGAGAGCCCAGAAATAAACCCACATACCTATGGTCAATTAATCTTCAACAAAAGAGGCAAGAAAATACAATGGAGAAAAGACAGTCTCTTCAGCAAATGGTGTTGGGAAAGCTGGACAGCCACATGTAAATCAATGAAGTTAGAACACACCCTCACACCATACACAAAAATAAACTTAAAATGGCTTAAAGACTTAAATATAAGACACGACACCATAAAACTCTAAGAAGAAAATACACCCAAGACATTCTCTGACATAAATCGTACCAAGGCAACAGAAATAAAAGCAAATATAAACAAATAGGATCTAAACAAACTTAAAAGCTTTTATACAGCAAAGGAAACCACAAACAAAACGAAAAGACAAACTATGGGCTGGGAGAAAATATCTGCAAATGATGTGACCGACAAGGGCTTAATATCCAAAATATACAACCAGCTCAAACAACTCAAAAACAAAAAAACAAACAACCCAATCAAAAAATGGGCAGAAGACCTAAATAGACATTTCTCCAAAGAAGACATATAGATGGCCAACAGGCACATGAAAAAATGCTCAACACTGCTAACTATTAAAGATATGCAAATCAAAGCTACAATAAGGTACCACCTCATACTGGTCAGAATGACAATCATTAAAAAGTCTACAAATAACAAATGCTGGAAAGAGCGTGGGGAAAAGGAAACCCTCTTATACTGTTGGTGGGGATGTAAACTGGTGCAGCCACTATGAAAACCAGTAAGGAGGTCCCTCAAAAAACTAAAAATAGAGTTGCCATATGATCCTACAATTCCACTCCTGGGCATATATCCAGACAAAACTATAATTTGAAAAGATACATGTACCCCCACTGTTCATTGAAGCACTATTTACAGTTGCCAAGACATGGAACAATCTAAATGTCCATCAACAGAGGAATGGATAAAGAAGATGTGGTATATATATACAATGGAATACTACTCAGCCATAAAAAAATTGAAATAATGCCATTTGCAGCAACATGGATGGACCTAGAGATTATCATAGTAAGTGAAGTAAGTCAGAAAGAGAAAGACAAATACAATATATATGACACAAATGAACTTATCTACAAAACAAACTCACAGACACAGAGAACAAACTTTTGGTTGCCAAGGGCAGGGGGTGTGGGAGGGATGGACTGGAGTTTGGGATTAGCAGATGCAAACTATTATATATAGCATGGATAAACAAGGTCCTACTGTATAGCACAGGGAACTGTATTCAATATCCTGTGATAAACCATAATGCACAAGAATATGAAAAAGAACATATATATAGGTATAACTGAATTACTTTGCTGTACAGTAGAAATTAACACATTGTAAATCAACTACACTTCAATAAATTTTTTTAAAAATGAAAAAAAGCACACCAAATTACCAGGAATAAAAAGGGAGTCATAATTATAGATGCTACAGACATTCAAAAGACACGGCAATATTAAAAACTTCATCAATAAATCTGAGAAAAAGTAAAATGTACAAATTTATAGAAAAATTAAAATAACAAAAGTAATAAAATTGAATTAGTCATTAAGAAATCTTCCCATAATGAAAACACCAGGTCCAGATGGTTTCACAGGCAAGTTCTATTAAAATTCAAAGAACAAATAAATCCAACTTATGCAAACTCTTTTAGAACAAAGAAAGGAAATGTTACAAACCTAAGTCACTTCTGAACCTAGAATAGCTCTCTCTGCTTTCTTCAGAGAGACTATTTTACATAAAGAGCCATCCCGGTTTAGCAAGCAAATAAAATCAGCTTCTGATTTTGGATATTGACTACCCAAAATACTGATTCTGTTTTCTCAACGATAAAGCAAGTTCTTCAATGTAGTCAGGGAAATGCATTTTAAATCTAGAATTCAGCAAGCCCTCACATTCAAGTGTAGATACTTTTACATCTACAAGGTAGATACTTTTGGGGGGTTATTGCAAGGTCTCAAAACCTACCACACAGTCCTCTAAAATAATGACTCAAGTATATACAGCAGCAAAATTAATAATGTTAAAAAAAGAGGACGATGTGGTATTCAAGAAATGACAAACAGGGAGAAACCAGAAAAATTAATTTGTATTCTTGCAGTTTTTGTTTGAAATTACTTGCAAATAAAAACTTACAACCAGGACTTCCCTGGTGGTCCAGTGGCTAAGACTCTGCACTCCCAATGCAGGGGGCCCAGGTTCCATGCCTGGTCAGGGAACTAGATTCCACATGCCTCAACTAAAAGTTCACATGCCACAACTAAAGATCACGCATGCCGCAACAAAAAACCGGCGTGCTACATTCAACTAAGACCAGGTGCAGCCAAATTGAAAAAAAAAAAAAAAAAACGGTACAACCAAGTCTAAATAATAACTGGTGCATGATGTAAAAAATCACAAGTGATAGACTTTTTGAGACACTGAAAAGCAGAGAGATTTTGTCAGGGATACTTGGGCACCAACTGTGATTCCTTATTACACCCCCACCCCCTTATTAATCTAAAAAATTAATCTAGAAAAAAGAGTATAATGATAAGAGTTGGTTAAAAAAAAAAAAAAAAGAGTTGGTATAATAATTGGTAGGTTGTATATCCAGCATTCATTTTCTCTTTTCCTAACAATATCCCAATTATCCTTATAGTTGCCACCTCATTATTATTTTAGCCATGCAACTTGGGGGAATGACTCTAGCTTCAAAGGTGTATTTAGGTTAATGAAAGCTTTCCCTCCATTTAGAATCACCTATGGAGCTTTTAAAAAAATACAGGAGCTTGGGGCCCCTACTTCAGAGATTCTAATCAGTGTGGATTGTCACTCAGGCATTACTATTTTTAAAAGACATCCAAGTGATTCTAATGTACATGCAGGACTAAGAAGTCATCTAAGCCAATCATGACAATCTCTCCCTTGCTAGTTTTGTCCACATTAACCCACTTAATGCCAATGGGATGCAAGGAAAACTATGCTAGCAACTTCAGGGTAATGATGATTGGCCCTTGAGAAATGTAGTAAAAGACTGTCTTTGTATTTTGTCATGGACAGATGTGAGGCCTGCAGCCATCTTGTCACCAGCTGGAGAATGAAGCTGACAAACAAGTGAAAGGAGAGCTTCTGGGAAACAGAGCCAGAGCTGCTAAAATAAGTACTAAAAACTGCCCCCTAAACCTCCAGTTCCTTGAGCTAATGTGTTTATTACTTTAAGACAGTTTTAGTTGGGTTTTGTTCTTTTCAGCTGAAATTCCCACTACAGGCAAACATACCCTATCAGATATGAAAATGCACTAAAATATTAAGGCAATTTAAAAGAATATGATATTGGTATAGAATATCAAATAGACCAGTAGAATACATATTAAGGTCCAGAAACAGATAC